TAATGGTGGTAGCAACTATCTTCTCTCAAACAAATTTGTACTATTGAATTTCTTTAAAAAAAATAATAAAGGAGAGGGGCCATGCAAGAAGCAGCAGTTCTATTTTTTTGAGTTGAAGTCTCACTCTGTTGCCCAGGCTGGAGTGCAGTGACATACTGATGGCTACTGTAGCCTCGACCTGCTGGGCTCAGGCAATCCTTCTGCCTCAGGCCTCCAAGTTGCTGGAGTTACAGGTATGTGCCACCATGCATGGCTAATTTTTTGATTTATTGTAGAGACAAGGTCTCACCAAGTTGCTCAGGCTGGTCTTAAACTCCTGGGCTCAGGCAATCCTCTTGTCTCGGCCTTTCAAGGTGCTGGGATGACAGGTGTGAGCCACCATGCCCAGCCTTTTGTCTTACTGAAGACTTAGACAGAGAAAGATATTCAGCCATGTTTCTCAACATCTTTCGAGGGAGCAAGTTGGCAGCAACCAGTGGATGTCAACACACATGTCGTGCCAATTTGCAGGGGGAGGGGGAGGGAGGGGAGTGTACCTGACAGACTCACGGCTCCATTGTCCTAGCATGAGCAGATCTCCTCCTCCAAGTCTGGGCCTTTTCCATACTCCAGGAATGGGTACTTTTCCCAAACAGCAATGTGTCTGGGCATCATTGATAAGGCAAGGAGAAGCACAGACATGCATTTGTGACATTTTGCCATGAACACTGAAGAAAGGGAAGCACAGAAGGCAAAGAGCAATCCAGGGAAAGTTATTTAAAATTTCCTTTCATTTTGTAAGACAGAAAAGATGAGACTAAGCTTCCATGCTGATGGAAGCTTCCAGAGCTGAGGCGGTGAATGAAGGGACAGGAGACTATAAAAATCATTCAGTGCGTGGAAGGAAATCAGCTTCTGAAACCAAGGCGACAGCTAACGGCCCCAGCAGTACTCAAACACCCTCATTCAGAAAGCATGAAGCAAACTCATTAGATTTACTTTTTTTTTTTTTTGAGTCAGAATCTTACTCTATTACCCAGGCTAGAGTGCAGTGGCTCCCCTGCAGCCTCAACCTGCTGGGCTCTGGCAATCCTCCCATCTCAGCCTCCTGAGTAGCTGTGGTTAAAGGCACGCACCACCATGCCTGGCTAATTTTTTTTTTTTTGTAGAGACGAGGTCTCACTATGTTGCCCAGGTTGGTCTCAACTCCTGGGCTCAAGAAATGTTCCCATCTTGGCCTCCCAAAGGGCTGGGATTATAGATGTGAGCCACTGTGCCCAGTCTAGACATCCTTTTTATTTTAAATTTACAAGCAATCAAATGTACGTGAGTATGGATGTGTGTGTGCAGTCCTCTGTGTATTAACACAGGCATGCATTCTTGTAACCACCACCACCAGCACAACACAGAACAATCCCAACACCCCAAAGGTGGTTTGGCTGCTAGGCTTCACCAGCAGACCAACTCCCACCCCAGCTCCCACAACAACTCATCTCCTGTCCTGCCCTACAATTCTGCCCTTTCCAGAATGAAGTATGAATGGGAGCCTGCAGTATGTAAACCAAGTGGCTGCACACCCCATCCATCGATGCTTCTTAATACTGAGTGGTGCTCAGTAGTACTTGTGGACCAGCTTGTTTACCCACTCATATGTGAGGGACACTTTTGTTGTTTCTGGGTTTGGGTGATCACATGTGAAGCTGCTACAAACATCTGGGTTCAGATTTTTGTGTGAACCTAAAGCTTTCATTTTTCTGGGCAAACAGCTGGGAGTAAGATGGTTGAGTGAAACGATAACTATACACTTAACTTTAAGCATAGGAGAGCTCTAGTGACCCTGCCTCTTGCTGGTTTTTATTTATTCTTTATTGTGGCCATTCTAATAAATATACAGTGGTGTATTTATTTGTTTCTTTATTGATGCACAGTGTTGAACATTTTTTCTTTTGCTTATGCCATCTTTAGATCTTTGGTAAAATATCTGTTCAAATCTTTTCTTTGCCAATTTTTGTTTGGTTTATGCAATTTTGAGAATTCTTTGCATATAAGTCTTTTGTCAGATATAAGATACGCAAATATTTTTGCCTGGTCTGTTTATAATATCCTCACAGAGTAAGTTTTCCATTTTGAAGTCTGATTGATCATTTTTTTCTGTTATAGATCATGCTTTTGGTGTTACATCTAAGAACTTCTTGCCTACACCAAGACCATGAACACTTTTCTTCTGTTTACTTCTAAGAGTTTTATAATTTTACATGTAGTCTATGATGCATTTTGAGGAATTTTTTTTTTTTTGTATCCTGTGTGAGGTATAGGATGAGGTTCCTCTTTTTTGCTTGAGGATGTCCAATTACTCCAGCACCTTTGTTGAAAAGATTGAATTTCTTTAATGAATTGTCTTTTTCAAAATTCATGGAATATATTTTGGGGCCTATTCTGTATTCCCCATCTGTTCTGTTGTGTCTCCCAATACCACATTGCCTTGATTACCATAGCTTTAAAGGATGCTCCCAAATCAGGTATTGCCAGCCTGCCTACTTTGCTCTTCTCTTTCAAAATTGCTTTGGCAATACTGGTTCCTTGACCTTCCTATAAAATTTTAGAACCAACATGTCTGTATCGTCTACTGAGGTTTTGACTAGGAATGTGTTAAATCTGTAGATCATTCTGGGGAGGAGTGACATTTGAACAAAACTGAGTCCTCCAATCCACGAACATAGTATTATTCTTTCTATGTATTTAGTTCTTTGATCTTTAAAATCAGAATCTTGTAGTTTTCAGCATATAGATCCTACACATATTTTATTAGAGTTATCCTTAAGCATCACCTGTATCCCTGCATCCTGGCAATTTGCTCAACTTGGTTATTAGCTCTAAGAGCAGGTTATTAGCTCTAAGAGCAGTTTTGTAGATTCTTTTGATTGTCAACATAGAGATAGCTTTACTTCTTCCTCTCTAACCTTTTTTCTAGCCTCTTATTTCTTTTCCTTGCCTTAGAGCACTTGCACTTCATTCATTAACTATGTGCCTGAGTGCCTCATGTCTTTCCTCCAGGCAAGGGGTCTAGCCTGAACATTAAAAGTTTATTAAATAATGTGTTTTACTGCCTGCCTTTCTCACATCAGGTAATCCTGTAAAAGAGACCATAACCTAAACTTGTACCCACTTTTGTTTCTATGTGTGATTAGCAGGAAAATACGTGCAGGATGCTGAGCAGAGATAAGCAGGCATCCAGGCAGTAGGTCTTTATGGTACCAACAGCAAATGCCTCTCTGCACTCCTCAAAGCCCCAGAAAAATAGGTTGATATAGAATCAAGTGCAGATGTGTTTCTTTATAAAAGGGAAAGGACGTTTTCCTCCCCCAGAATACTGAGGGAGGGAAGAGCTGACTGATAAAGATACAGAGACAGTTTGAATTAGAGAGAAATAAAACAGGGAATTCATTTATTGATGCCAGAGTTATAAATAATACAGTAGTCCACCTTTACCCAAGCAGGGTGTGGTTCATGAGTCCTGGTGGATGCCTGAAACTGTAGGTAATACCAAAATCTCTATATACTAGGCACTAATTTCTTTTTCCTTCTTCACAGCTTCATGGATAGAAAAGTCTTTCTTACTGTAGATCTTAGCAAACCCAGCGCACAATTTTTTTCTTTCCTTGTTAAGTCAGGAACTTTTACCTTTTCACCTAAAGAAAGCACCTTACAGCTTCTGAGAGGCAAAGCAAAATTGCCAGTATCACTACTCTTGCACTTTGGCTCCATTATAAGGTCAAATAAGGGTGACCCGAACACAAGCACCACAATACCATGACAAGTGATCTGACAACTGGATGGCTACTAAGTGACTAATGAGCAGGGAACATCTACAGGGTGGACAGGTGGGACAACAGGATGATTCACGTTCCAGGCATGATGGAGCAGGACCACTAGAGATGTCATCACTCTACTCAGAAAGGTATGCAATTTACAACTTATACATTGTTTATTTCTGCGCTTTTCCATGTAACATTCTCAGACGGTGATAACTGAAACCACACAAAGCAAAACCATGGGTAAGGGGGAATTACTGTATTTCATCCAACTAAACATCAGCGGTACCAGTAAATAATTAGGTAGGTAATCTCCAATTGCCACCCATGCAAAGAGTACTTTCCAACTTCACAACTTTTTGCACTAATCTCTTTAATGCTTTGTAACAGAGATCTGCAGGGTTAAGTTATAACAGAAAAAACAAATCACAGCCATTCTTAAAATTACATCTGCAGTTTTTGCATATTATAATTCTACTGGTTTAAACTAGTGCAGTATGAATGTAATACATTCTTGGAGTAGGAAGAAAGAGGACAGACACTTAACAGATGCAAAATGGCATGAGAACTAACAAACGGTGCTACTGGCATCAGAAAGCAATACTTTGGAGTGACCTCAGGTTGAGAATCAGTTAAAGTAGAACCAATAACAGACAATGTCAATTTTTATGAAGATGATAACATTTTTTAAGACGACCTCTAATGCACAGAAATAAGGGCAAACCATGTTGCAGATAGATATGTGCAAGATAAAACCTATCCAAGTGGGATTCAGTGAACATGTTTCATCCTAAGTAAATCCATCTGTACAAACAATCACTGGATTCTTTTGGCTCTGCAAACCATTACTAGCATAGGTCACAGTATTTCTTGGTTAAACACAGAGGAAAAGCTCATTCAACTGTGAGAACACGCACTTTGCGCTTTCATTCTGTATCTTTCTAATCTCGTTTCTGCTTTATCTTGGAGGCTACTTGTTTCCTGCTCTCCACTCTCCCAGTCCTCCCATTCCCCAAGGGCCTGGCCCCGGCTGAAAGGTGTCAGCCAAAGGGAGATCAACTCAAAGAAAGAACGGTTTTCTCCGCTCACAGGAAAGCGCGCAGACCCACAAGGGTGCACGTCGGCATAAGTCCTGGTGTCATCAACTCAGGATGACCCAACCTACCCAACACTTCAGTTTTGAAGTGTGTAATTCAAGCATAGCCTTACCCATTCATAAGAGAGGATCCAGCAGCCACGCGCAAGGCCCAGTAGCACATTGAGGGTACGGAGGGGCTTCCCGGACAGCACATGCGTGGTGGTCTCGCAGACTTCTTGTGCAAGTGAAAAGCCTTTCAATTTGTTCACAACCTGGATGATGACATTCTGCTTTCTATCAAATGGGGGGGGGGAGATCAACAAAATGAATATGTCTGGGAAAAATCAACAAAATGAATATGTCTTTTGCACATGAACATCAAGGTGATTACACTGAATAATAATGATGATTAAACTAGAAAGTTAAAATTTTAAATTGATTTTCGGTTACGTGTTTGTGTTAATCTCTTTAAAATCAATTATTTGAAATTTGGGAAAATAAAATAAACCTTAGCTGTAGCTTTTAATTCCAATGATTTCTTTTAACGGCTGAGAAGATAGGCCCACAGGCTGTAAATGGCCTCCCCACAGTGGCCAAGCTGGTCAGGGATGGAGCCAGCATCAGAAACCAGACCCTAAGACTCTTCCCACTGTGGGAACTGTTTGCTTTTCAGGCCAGTTTGAACCTATCTGTGCAAGGTCAGGACCAAGATTCTCACTTATTTTTTTGAAAATATAACATTTACTGAGTGTCACATACATAGTTCTTCTACTAAGAGGGGAAAAAAGACCCTTTTTATAAAATCATCAGATAAAATATAGAACCTCTTTGTCACAAAGCTCATCATTCTCCATCATTTCCTTAATGCTTAAAGCACCCTTTAAAAAAAAACTTTCCATCCACCTTCCTTAGCAAAGAACTCTGCCCTTCTTCTCTTCCTTTTACAGTAACCTTTCTAATGCCTTTAGTTCTGGCACTGCTTCTCTTGCTCTCTCCCAGCAAGTTTTAAAAATCCCCAATGATGGCTCATGTCTGTAATTCCAGCACTTTGGGAGGCCAAGGCAGGAGTATTGCTTGAGCCCAGGAGTTCAAGACCAGCCTAGGCAACATAAGAGAACTTCATCTCTACAAAAAAAAGAAAAGAAAAAAAAAAATCAGCTATGTTGGTGTGTGCCAGTAGTCCTAGCTAGTTACTCAGGAGGCTGAGGTGGAAAGGATCTCCTGAGCCTAGGAGGTCGAGGCTGAGGTGAGCCATGACTGTGCCACTGCACTCTAGCCTGGGCAACAGAGTGAGACCCAAACTCAAAAAAAAAAAAAAAAGAAAAGAATCAATGAAACAAGGGAAATTTAACAATAAATAAATAAAAATTTCCAATGAAATACAAAGGATAGCAAAGGCTTTCTAAACTACATTATGATGTATTCAATGAGTTAAGAAATATATACTACTGCTCTCCAAAACTTATATCACAAAAGGAATATATATCACTGCTCTCCAAAACTTCTATCACAAAAGGAAAGAAGTTATTGTCCATGCTTATATAGACTATCTCTAATATTCTTCTTTCCAAATGATGGTGTTTCATAGTTTTATCTCTAGTCATCAGAGCTATGTACATGTCAAGACCTTAGTTTCTCTGCCTGTAAGACGAAAGGGTTGAGTTTTATCCTGCTTTTAAATTCTTAGCAATCTCTAAAGGAGAGAGGACATGTCAGTCAAGATCTGGGCTACATCACCTTTAACCAGAGAATCTGTGCCTATTTGAGCTGTGAAAAATATTAAATTTGGAAAAAAGATGAAGGTAAAAAAGACAAAAGAAATCAAAGCCGAAAAGAAGTAAAAGCCTCTAAACTAGATGCCCTCTAGAACTCTTCATTTCTGAATATGGGATTTTCTCCATCTCAAGTCTGGCAACTGCCAGCTGCTTGTTGGATGTGCCAATAAGTAACATGTATCTCCTCAAGGTATGCCTAATCTACATGGAGTCAGAATTCCAGGTCTTGTTCTTAACTTACACAAGAAGTCTATGTATGATGAGAATATGGCCTAAATAAAAAAACTCTGAATGACAAAATAACTAGTTTATTTGGGGGAAAAAAAAGTTCTTAAAAATATGGCACCCATATTCAATATTCATTTCTGTATTAAACTACTTAGAATGTTCAACATATTTCATAATACATTTATAAACATTTTGAGTGAGCTTCTTTTTCACACATCATGTGTGGTGTTTGAATTATCAACCCTTTTACTTTCAGGCCATGGGCAGGAAAAGGATCCCCCTACAGCAAATGTTCGAAACATACATTCTTCTGTAGGCAGCATATTTTTTATTGAAATGTTCCAATGTTTTGATGAATGTCTTAAACCTTTGAAACCTATGACTGATCTAAAAAACATGGTTTTCCCCTTTAAACAGGAATTCAAAAATCTGTTACGAAGAATATAGTACTGTATTTTTGTTGGATGTTGTTTATTGTGTTAAATGTTTAAGGAAGATGATAAGAGCACGCCAGCAAGCTATTAACCCTTCCACAGAATGTGTGGACAGCTGCCTTAACACAATTGCAGAAAACTTTCTACCACAGCATTTCTTTAAGACCTTTAAGGGAAATGTTTTGGTCTGCGTTATTTCATTTATCGACACTCATGGGGGCATTCATGGTGGATAAACAAAGCCATTAGGTATTAAGCAAGCAAAAAAAAATGCAGAAAGAGCACAAGCCCTCTTAATGCTGCCCAAACAACCCCTAAAACTTTTCATCACTAAACCATTCACATTTAACCCCATTTTAAATTTTCAAAGATCTCCTAACTCAGATAATACTTATGCAGAGTAAAAGGGATACAGTACAGATCTGCGAATTGCCTAGAAGCACATAGAATCAGAGTATATGACAGGAAAGGTTAAAATTTTACATTGACTAGAAAAGCACATATGAGAGAAAAGGTTAACATTTTACATTGAATAGAAATCAAAACAACAAGTACTTACTCAGATGGCATGCTTGTCATGACTAATGTTCTTGTTGGCTAGAGATTTCAAAAGAAAAGGAACAAAAAACAGTCAAAAATATAAAAAATATTTTTCCCACAGAAATAAACTTTATTAAGTTTTTTGAAAAGTCACATCACTCAAAAATAAACATTGAAACATATATCAAAGAAAAAAAACGTTATATTCCTGGAAAAAATAGCCCAAGAGATAGAAATTTAGATACTATCCTAAGACCAATCCAAAATAATCCAGACATGAGGTAGAAGAGAAAGGAAAAAAAAAGTTCCTCCCAGAAGCCTGTTCTACCAGTTAGCTAGCAGACCTCCAAAAGTGTCAACCTCTTTACAGGCTTCAAAGTAAGGCGGGGTAAAGAGGGCATTTTTGCAGATGGAACAACACTTTTCCTAAGACTTCTAAGCAACCATATTCTCATTTCAGATATATGAGCACAATCGTGCCTGTGCTTCTACTGCACCAGTCAGGCAAATCCCTCACATGCAGAGGCACAGATAATGGAATTTACTTGCTGCACTGGCATCTGCTATTAACTGGACTTGCAAATATGTTTTAAATAAAAGATTATAAATATTTTTTGTTTACATAATGAATGCTGACTGCAAAAATATTTAAATGCGATGGAAATATATAATTAGAAATATGAATTCCCTGTAATTCTACCAGCTAAAAACGACCGTTGTTTAACAATTTGGTAGTATATTGTGCCAGATAGTCATTGTGCGTGTGTGTGTGTGACATAGAAATAAAAACGAAGTCACATTATTCATATATTTCTGTAATTCACATGAGATACATCAAATAAAGTCAACGTGGCAGCATAACCATTAACACTTGCTCATGTCTTGAACAGTCAGTGTGAAGAAAATGAGAAGACTGGCCAAAAGGCATTCAAACAACTCCACTTGACAAAAACGACAGACTTGAAGGGGCCTGTGCACTATCTATTTGAGTAAGGCAGAAAAGAAGAATATGAATCAAAAAGATGATCAAGGGAAGAACACTGAGAGGTGATAAGTAAGCTAACAGATGACGGCTTCCCTGTCTTTTTAGTTATCCCTGCAGAATATTCTGTGAGCACTTATCTATTTCTGACGCCACACAAACAACTACCTGAGTTATACCTAGAGACAAGGCTTTTATGTGGGAGTCTCTAATCATCAAGTAAGATTCTGGTTGAAACCTAATATGGCTTTTCAACATCACCCTTGAATGAAAACTACACAGGCTCGGTAATGTGACCAGCCCCGAAAGTTCTGGGGAGCCGTACAGAAGAAGCCAGTAAGGTTCGTCTCTATGACCAAGAGGTCCAGAAGAAAGAAGAAAAGGAAACTGTCTTGATTACAACTTGATTTTTACAATACGACCTCGGACTGTTTCTCTTCCTCACCTGTACTCCCTTTCGTTGTGATTAAAAGTAAATGTTAAAATTAGCAGTTTTGAAAATATCATAACCTGTACAATATGTAACTACATAGAATACAAGCCATTTCTTAATCATTTATCTATGGAACCGTTGCTATGTGCCACATTTCACTGAAGGCAATAAAATGCGGAGAAAGTTTGGCCACATTATTCTCTTGAATGATGGTAACCTGATACTCCCCCCAACCCTTAATGAAATCTACAGTCTGAGATGCACAAATCTAGGAAAAATCAGTAAACCTTGCTTAACATTATTGGAAAGGACCAAAAAGGCAAACTAACACATATTAACTGCTGAAAAATTACACAGTACTTTATAACTTTGTAACATGCAATGCATACTATAAGACCCGAGCTTTACCTGAGCCCTAGGACCCTAGAAAATAAAACGCTGTTTAAGAAATCTTCCCTGCCTTTCATGTTCTGAGAAAGGCCAAATCCAAAGGCCCACTCTGCTCTCTCAACACCCACCACCACTCCTCAGTGATTTAGATGAGACCACTTCCATCCTCCCTCAAGAGTCCCCTAAGACTTGGATGTAGAACGGTCTTAATTGTCTAGTGAATTTGTCTTTTGCTGTGTTGGTGCCATGACTGAAATAGGATCAGACCTGGCCTCATTCCCTAATCCAGGACAGGAGAATCCAGGAGTCTTTTATGCTCCATCTCTAATGGGAGACTCAGACCCAGCACGGAGTCCAGTTCTGATCCTGTGGTCCAAATTCCTGCCTCTCGGCAGCAAGGTAAGAAATCAATTTTGATTCTGTTTGAGTATTCACTTGATTTCTGATGCCACCTTCTTTTGGTTTCATGGTCTGACCATTTGGTTCTGTCTGTAAACTGACTGCTGGTTTATAGATATCTTGTCTTTGTTGAGTGAAGGATGACAGAAAATCTGATTTGCTTGTTTTTTTCTGTTTGTCTACTTTTCTACTTGGGGCTCAAAACAATTAAGAATTTCATGCAACCAGGAAGGAGATATCTGGAATGAGTCATGTATTTCTGTGTTTATGTTCGACTCATGACTAAAATTTTAGAATTCAAGCTATAACCTCTCTCTGTTCGTATGTTCATATGCCTGTACTGCAGAAAGGCCACTGTAGTAAATGCATATAATTTTATGTTGTCTTGGCATCTGTTTTTGAATATAAATTTAACTTTCTTATACCAGAAACAGTCAGGCACTCATGAAGTTTCCAGTTCTACACCTCTCCCACCCAGTCCTCAATGTGTTGATCCAGATGTCTGTCTTATATAGCCTTTTCCTGGTGACCATCTCCCTATGGGACAGACCACCTGTGGGGGCCCCATTGCCCCCACACCTGGCACGGACATGTGCCGCATTGACCATCTCACAGACATTATGTGACCTTCTGGGACTCAAGTCTTTTTGTTTAAACCCACCAATTACAACTCCCTGTAAGAAACCTGCTTGGGTAATGCCCTGTACCCCAGTAAAGGTGTTGGTGCATGGGTCCCTCTCTTTCTCTACCTGACTCTGCATTCCACCTTGAGGAACTGAGGTTGGAAGACAGGCCTGCTGACTCATGTTGCCTGCCCTCCTCAGGATCTATAACTAATAAACCTTTGAACTTATTTTCTTTTGTGGTAGTGTTGAATTTTTGCCTTCCATCTGAAGAGCCAGGGGCTACCCCAGGCTGGCTGGGTTTTCCCCACGACACAGGGGAGAACCCAAGGGCAGGTTCCCAGTGCCAAAGTGATGGTAAGGCAGACATCAACTTGGACATGGGTCAGACAAGAGCCAAGGGCGTCTGCCAGCAAGCTTCCCATGTGAGAAACCCCTGGTCACAGGTCAGACAACTAGGCATTAGGCCATCTGCCAAGTAAAAGAAGTATTCTGTGAGAGGCACACTGTAAATACCCAGGCCCAGCTGCCCATGGTGTTTCATCAGGGCAAGGTTGTTAGCCACTCAGATACTTGGAACCCCAATTTAGCTGGGAGTTCTCAAACAGCTATTACCTCCCACTCTGAGATAACCATCAAGAAATGGTATAAACAAATGAGATGATGACATCTCTTGCTTTTTTTTTGAGTTGGAGTCTCAAATCTGTCACCCAGGTTGGAGGGCAGTGGCACACTCCCAGCCACCGCAGCCTTGACCTATTGGGCTTCTGCGATCCTTCCACCTCAGCCTTCCAAGTAGCCGGAACTACAGGCGTGCGTTACCACGCCCGGCTAAGAGATGATGACATCTCTTAAAGAAGTCTATTCTGATTGGCTTAGAAATAAATAGGCAACTACAAATGGAATATCCTAAAATTCCCAGAAATTAAGGAAATAATACTTTCAACAGTTCTAAATAAAAGTATTCTTAAATATTCTTATTGAAACATAAATGTTTTAAGAATTCAAGTTCAATACTTAAGTAAATATTTGACAAATGACATACTTGAATATTTTTGGTTTAATAAAAATAGCTATCTTCTGTGAGTTATCAGCATTGAGTATAATAAAAGTATACATTTTAATTCTACTTGTGCCTGCTCTCTAATAAGTGAACATTACTCCTACTTAATGTTTAAAACTATGAAAAATGTAAATTTTTGCTTAATCAAACTGAATCATCATTCTGATAAACTATTTTAACAATAATTGTTTTATATTATAAAATGTATACATCATTTCCAAGATTTTTAGGTAACTTGAAACCTGCTAAATTGAGTTAATTAACGGATAGTCTTTAGATATCTGTATCACTACTAAGTCAGACAGAATATGAAAACTGATTAGTTAGCATACTTTTAAGTCTCTATACTTTTGTTTCTTATTTCTTATGCCACAGGGAGATTGTATCTTTGGGTCTGGAATGAGGTATGTATAAATGCCACTGTGTGACAGGCATTGCACATTTGTCTACTCTCAGTTCTCTCCATTAACTAGAAATTAGTTACTTGGGTCAAAGTTATAATACACTGCTAGGAGATGGGGGTCAGGAGGACATAATGTCAGTAAGGGTGCCTGATTCTAATCCAGGTGAAGTGAGGTCCAATGGGAAGCCCAAAATTTCACCTGTACCTAAACCACTTATGTACGCAATCTTGATGTGTACCCTGCAACTTTAAAATAAAATAAAAATTTTAAAAAAGTAATAATATGTGGCTGACACTATACTTTGGAGAAATACTTCCAGAGACATATAACTGTGTACATACTTCTTTTTTCAAGGACTAGAGTATATCCTAAAGGGATGGGGCTTAGGTTTCTGCACTTTTGTGCTCTTCAAGCTTACTGAGGACCCCAGAAACCTTTCTCAATGGGTTATAGCTATCAATATAGACTTGTTTAGAGACAGTAATAATGAACATTGAATGCTAACATCTTAGTACTATTTCATTAATACTGATTATGGGTTCAGCATTAACTACAACTTCATAGAGTGGGAGTTCAGTCCTAACTAACTTTGTTCCAAAGTATGAAAGAGCAGAATAAAAGACAAAATGTAAATCGAATTTTGTATGTATTGGTTTATAATATCAGAGCTTGAAAAGTCAAGAAATATGCAAAAAATTCTCAGTAAAGTTTGCTCAGTATTAATGGGCCGGTTTCATTGGTTTACTGTTTATTGCCTCCATCT